CCTACACATTTCCAATTCAGACTGGCCCGCACTTCCTGGCCAGATGGTCTGAAATGTGATTAGTGCCGAACAACATGCACACTTAAGGTGCAAATATGAATAACTAGGTGTCAGTGCTCAAAGCTTCACTGAAAAGCGCACAGCATTGTTGCTTTCCTTCCTTCTAAGAAGACAAATCTCTTAAACTAAGTACGGAGATGAGCAAACAAGTAGGGTTCAACGCTGAGAAACAGATCTTATAAAGACTCCGACGATTGGAAACATTCTCACTGCGTAATAGAAGATTGTTAGATGATCTATTAATGGCACACATCATGTGAGCTAGGAAGTCCATCCTGTTCCTCTGTTCAGGGAATTTGTGGCACTGAACATTCCCGAGCATTTCTCTATTTTGTTTCGGAGTCTGTGCTGCACCTTACAAATATATCTTCGAACCACTTTATTTCTAACTTCTGATTTGATTGGGCTGGTATACACGGATTATAAAAGTGTTGTGTGCAATAGCGTTGTGAATCTCCGAATGCCTGTAGTATCTTCAGAGGTAAAGAACAGAAAAATGGACATCGCTGAGCGATTGCTCAGGTACGTCCTCACTTTGTCTCTAAAATAATTGTCCTCATTTGGAATGTTCTACCCAACTAAGTGAACATAAGCCCCTCAGTGGAAAGCTGCACGGGGAGACCTGATAAATACGGACTCATACATGGATTACCAACTCCTACTTGGACTGGCCGTAATTGATATATATATGCAGACCTAACTACCATCATCACTACTATGTATCAACAGCTTATTCCTATCTTGCTTTGTTCACCGTTTTATTCGTACACTTCAATTTACTCACATTGTCTGGGTTGCCAATCAATTAACTTAATTATTTCTTCATGAGACAACCGTCTTCTAGTTGCATTCGAGTTTCCTCTTTATTGTTTCTCACAATGCAACCAAACCAACTCCTCCCTGGTACTGTGATGACTACTGATTTCATAAAAATTGCACTCCTGAGTCAGATACGCTCACTCAGATTAACATATACATGAACCCACAAATAACTACAACAAATGACTAGAACTGTTATAGTCGAACGGCTAGACTACAGCCCACTGTACATTACCAGAGACTTGGAGCCGTAAAAAATCACAAAGAGTGAGTGAAAAGAAATCGATTGGTTTATACAAGCTCATCACGAAGTTATTGGATTTTGGATGAGTGGTACAACTCATGCAGTGTGACAAGTGCAAAGGCTGGTAACACGAAGTTTGCACGAATCTAGAGCCTGTGGATTTCAAACGGTTTAGTAAAAGTAGTTGCGTGTGGTTCTTGTGAGCACTGCTGCTTGGACGCAAACAGCTTACTGTCCGAGACCATTTCAATGTTAATACTACTAGAAAGTGTATCAGTAAACCAGGTCAAGACACATTTGACAGTACTCGTTCTGTCGATACACAGATTGATATGAAGCCATCTCAAATGAGCTCGGAAACAGCTGACCCACGTCGGTTAAAGGAGAAAAGACCAACTTCGGAGAGGTCTGTCTTAAATAAAAGCTCAAGAAAAGAATTTTCTTCTATCCTACGCCTTCTAAACTGTAGCTGGCAGGAAACGCCTAGCAGAAAAACAACTTAACCGCCCAAATCATCCGTAACTTCCCGGAACCTCAGAGTGTTCTCGACACGACTGTGGTTGTCATTCTAAGGAAAACTGATGAGTGGGTACAGGTCGAGAGCAAGGAACGATATAACGCTCTTAGCGAAAATCGAACCCTTCAGAAAGTAGCCAGAAAATTACTGACTGACCACAGTGACATATCATTTGTCTTTCATAAAATGAAGGAATGTGAAAGGTCAGAGCCGAAAACTCATTTTGAGCATGATATTGGTTTGATTAAACATCCACTAAACCAGCTCATGCCTCGAGATAACTCCGGAGTCACTTTGGTAAAGGTGTATAGACTGGGTAATCAAACGAACTTGAGACAAAATCAAAACAGGCTGCTTAAAGTAGTAATTAAATTTCCTAATGAATTGGACTCAATAATACAGAATGGACGTAAACTAAAGGGTTCAGAAGTTTTTATCTTTGAGGACTTGCCGCTTGCAGGCCGTGCAAAAAGACGAGGAGCCGAAAAAGGACTAAAAATTAGGTTAGATGCTGGCAAAAGGGATCAAAAAATTGTAAATTTTCAGGTTTTGGGGCTTTGACAGGGAATGATGCCGAAGCCACTATGGGTGCAGCACGAAGTCATTTAAATAGACTTCGGATCTATTACACAAATGTCCGGAGTCTGTTCAATAAGTGGTTGGATCTAGGTGTATAGATTGAATCTACCAAGTCGGATACAACCTCAGTCACAGAAACTCGTCTAACGCAGCCTATAGATGGTATGGAACACAAATCTCCTCCACACGAGGTATGTTGACGCTAAAACTTTTTTTGACTTTGTATACAGCATTTGTGCGTCCTAAACTTGAGTATTGCATACAGGCGGCTAGCCTCTGCCTAATAAAAGACAGTGAATATTTGGAAAGGGTCAAGGGAACAGCGATGAAGCTGATTTCAGGAATAGCGAAGCTCCCGTTTGATGCTCGACTGGCTAAGCTTAAACCTAATCCCATTGTCATATCGAAGAACTAGAGGTGAACTGATTAGTTTTCAGTTTACTTAGTGGTAAATTTGCATATGATATGCCCTTATTTTTCTTGTCTTACAAAACAGAGAATTTACGAGGACACTCAAAAAAGTTAACAAGCTCAGAACAAATTACTTGTCAGCTGACTAGCGACTTTCCCATCGAATCATCAACGACTGGAATTAATTACCTCAATACGTGATTGAAGCTCCCTCATTCGACTCTTTCAAAAAGAAGTTCAACCAACTAAGAGACCATCATTGACACGACTAACACAGACCATCAAGCCTCCTACCATTTACAAAGTGAAACTGAAACATCGGGCACGGTCTTTTAATGCTTCACTGCTCTAATTTACTGATACAGTTTACACCGTCTGGTTTTTGAGAGGGTTGACGATGTATGGGAGTTCTATATCTGGTGAGGATGATAAGTACGACTATTTGTTTAAAGGTAATAAAAGATCTAGCAATTTATTTCAATTGAAAAGTTGTACTGACCGGCGATTCGGGTGTCGGGAAAAGTAACTTACTCTCACGTTTCACAAGAAACGAGTTTAATTTGGAAAGTAAAAGTACGATCGGTGTTGAGTTCGCTACAAAGTGAGTCTATGGGAAATATTTATTGTGGGATTTAGGAGTGTGGATATTGATGGAAGAATTATAAAGGCACAGATCTGGGATACTGCTGGTCAGGAACGTTATCGAGCTATAACAGCTGCGTGAGTTTACAATCTTTATGTAGATATTTCAGTGCTAGATCTAAGAAACTGGCAAGTATAGACTTTTCATTTTTGAGTTACTGTTGTGATAGTACTTACCCTTAATGATTGCACACAATACGTTGTAAAGATAATTGCGTCTGACAAAAACGCAGTTGTGCACCGATTGCTAAATGTAGCATTCTATCAAAGGATCTTGGCGTTATTCATTGTTTAGTAGTCTTAAAGTGCTTGGGTATTCAAAGATTCGGGTCATTATATTTACTTATTTTAATTAACCTGAACATAATAATAAATCATCCTGAACTTAGTACAACTTAAACAAGCAAGTGGAAAGTCATTCCATGTATTTTCATGTGTAGAACTCTGATATTTAAAGTTAATGTTTTGAAAGCAAGACATCAGGATGTTAATAAAGATGGGTAGTGGTTAACAGTGGAATGCTGGAATGGCGTTTCGTTTCGTTGATGTTGAAGATGAGACTGCAGTCGTGTACCATTCGCTTCAAACGCCAACGCGTTGTTCACTGAATTATTGAGTTCAGGTAGCCATGCAAGAAGACAACACGGATTGAATCAAACTTATATCCTGCTTCACTGTGTTGACTTAAGATGATATTCCTGTGCGTCCTGGATTTGCTTAAAGTTTGGAAGTCCGTGAAATGGTGAATGTAATACGACTTGAGGGTTTATCCACTTGTTATCGGTTTTGAACTAAAGATGACGCTCTGTCCGATTTTGTAGAGTGGACAAAAGCAGTCATAGAGAGTTTCAAAATAGCTGTCGTAAGTGAATAACTCGAAATGGTTTAGTTTGGCTTAGTAACCATACTTGGGTTTCTAAACTTCCAGTCGTGATTTTTGCGAGAACCAGTGATACTACTGGATAGAACAAACTATTGTGAGTGGGACAGCGTTGAAACACGCGATATAGATGATGGAAGCTGAATATGTCACGAGATATTTGTCATAATGTAATTACTAATAGATGGTTATTTATACCTTCTTACATGTAAACATCTCTTTCATAATGCTCGCTCTGATAAAACGTCAAACTGGTTTTATTAAATTCTCTACTTGTTGTCAATTTCGCCCAGTGTCCACATAGTTCCTTAGTTTTATGCGCCTTTAAATAAATAAATGTAAATATTCATGTATATTAGAGTAAAGCCTGGTGACGATCTAATTGAAAACAATTATTTGCTTACATGTGTTGTTCCAAACTGGTTTTTATTGGATTCTCTTATTTTTGTAAATTTCGCCCAGTGTCCGCATAGTTCCTTAGTTTTATGCCCCTTTAGTGTGCTTAGACTCGGTGGTCAGTGAGTGAAATGATTTTTTATTGATCTTTAGTTAACATTACGAAACTTGATGCCGGTAGAAACGAGTTGTCATTATTAGGATGAAAATCCTGATCTTCATTTCTTTCCAGCATTCTAGTCACATCACTCCGTCTGGCTAAGTAATTTCATACATACCATTGACCAAGCTATTTTACATATTGTAGTATGCAGGAGGTTATTTGGCATAGTATGTTCGAAACTGTTGACTGCGTTTTGGCTCACTCTCGTTGTTTAACTTGGAAGAAGTATTGATTCCACTAGGCATCATCAGATGTAAAGTATGACATATTTCAACGTTTTCTCTTGAAGCTATTACCGTGGTGCTGTTGGTGCGCTGTTGGTTTACGATATCACAAAAAGAGAGACTTTCAACAATCTGGAACACTGGTTACTGGAGTTACGAGGCCATGCAGAACCAGATATCGTTATTATGTTGGTTGGTAATAAGTGTGACCTTAGGCATCTGCGAACTATATTGACGGAAGATGCGAAGCTTTGGGCTGAAAGACATGGACTATTCTTCATGGAAACGTCGGCTTTGGAATCCACCGGCGTTGAGAATGCTTTTTACTCGATTCTTAAAAGTTAGTTTTATATTTCAAATCATATGATGACTTAAGTTTTGATTGAGAAGATGAAGTTAACTGGGTAAAATAGATTTTGTTGTTTCGATGCTCTTTGGTTTATCATTTGCATAGATTACATTGGCTCACCACTCAACTGTAAATCTTTAAGGCTTTAATATTTAAGGAAGCTCGTTGGTTCGCATCAACAGACTACGTTTGAGGACGAATATTTTTCTAGGATGATAATGCTTCATCTTTGTTACCCCATCAAAGTATAGTATGAATCTGGTTGCAAGATGGTCTGTCTTCGTTTCTTAGTGAATTTCATGTTGGCAAACTCTACTTTACTGTACAAGCATATTCACTGCGTCTGTAACAGTAAAAGTAGGAAGTGAGTATTTACTTATGGAGCTGTGGCTCAATGGTCAAAGCGTTCGACTTCCAGCCACCAAGTCTCAAGTTCAGACCTCGCTCAACTTACTTTGGTTTAAGCAACTGTGTAGCATCATTAATCTTCACACTTAGTGTCTCGTGCCCACGTATCCGGTGAGTGAGTTAAAAATATAAGGCTAACTTACTTTATTGTTATTGGTTTTTGTGACTTGATAAAAGATTGAATGTGACACATCAGGGTAAATGTCAGTGTTATTATCCGTCACACCTCTTGTATATGTCCTTACTTTGTCAATATGATGATGTAACGACTTGATGTTTACGGTTTATGGACATATTTAGACACAAAAACGTTGTCAAATCTGTGCCTTCAGTTTCATGTACGAGATATGCACCGTACAAAATGTGTGGTGAAGTAAATATTGAATGGTAAGAATTAGTAAATGAAAAACCATCACACGGTATTGCGATGTACGATTTAATTCGAAGTATGTATCTGAATAAATGTAATTGTTTTAAATTAATTACGTGAACATTCGGTTAGTGTTGGTGAACACATCGGCCTAAAACTTGTGTTTACTTAGACAGAGTTGAATATGAATACTTTTCCATCCATGTATTTGTCGATAAAGTACTGCCTAGGCACATTAGTCTAGCCCAACTTCTCTACAGTGATTTAGTGATAAGTATAGTAATGCTAGCATTTTGTTAATATGAATGAGTTGTTCTTACTGTCTCCCAGAGCGGATTGTTTCTATGAATATGAAAGGAACACAAGGATGAGAGTTTTGAATGTATAAGAGATTCTATGATGACCAAGGAGTGCTGATATGCTGATGGAAGTTTATTGGGATTTGATTGTTTCCAGTTCTCAGTGGCATGAAGGTCAGTCAGTCAGTCAGTAACAACGTAGAACTTCGTACGTACGTACATCAGTTCGAGTTGCCACACCACCTTAGCACAGAGATGCAGTTGTCGATTCAAATCCAGCCATCTCAACTGATGAAGTTTCACTACTTCATCAATGGATTTACCATCCTTACCTAGTACCTGTTTCCTAACAACTGTGTTACTTACTCGATGGTCCCATGATATACGTGCAATGTTTCGAAGACACGTATGATCGAAGGTTAGTATTCTGAAGTATCAATAATGGAATGTGGGTTATACTGTTTCACCACTTCAATGGTAATGTATCACCCTCCAAGCAGGTAATAAACCTTTTCCTTAGAAGTTGAAACCCTAGTTCTTGCTAGTTGATACTTGTCGCCAATGCGTGCCTGCAACTTTGGAAGAGAACTGATGCTTCCCAGTTTGTCGGAACCGATTTACATTGCCCAACGTCACATTATAAGGGATTATCACTAAGCTATTCGAGCCATAACCGACTTCTCGTAGGAATCAGTTGTTTACAAATGATTGATCAGTGGAGTAGTGGCAGTGACCAATGTTGTGTTTGTCTGGACTTTTTGTGCTACTGTTTGAATTCTACCAATTAAGTGTGCAATAGTCGCTCATTGAATTTTGTGTAAAACTGCCAAACATTTGATTTGTAGTCTTACTGTTCTTTTTATCATTTACATTGTGTCCAGCCATTTTCGAAGCTGTCCGTTCACATCCTCCAGTGAGTAATGTCGACATGAAAATGTCTCCATATAATCAACCCATTGTTTCATCGAACACAGACAGTTCAAACAGTGGACGACGGTGTTGTAGTTAGAAACAAGGGAATAATCAAATAACAATTTGTTTCCATTTTGTATGAAGAGAATTGATTAATTATTTTTCTGTAAACTATTATTGTTAATAAATTGATTGATTGATATCAGTAAATCGACAACAAATCGATGGACAGAATGTTTATGATAAATGTAAATTAGTGGTGGTTGCTGTTGTCTTTCTTGTTTTTGACGTTAACGATTACTGATTCGGTCACCACTGTCTCTACTTATTCATTATTTATTTTGTGTGGATGAAATCATTTGCATTGACTTTTGTTTTGTGCACATTTTCACTTTTCACGTGTTCGTTTGTGTGTGCGTGTGTGTTTGTGAATTCAAAGGAGAGAATAAAGAAGTGAAGGCGAGTTGTTGTTGTTGTTGTAGTAGTAGTAATGGAGCAGTGTATCAAATGCTTTCCTTCCCTGCCCCTTCCATAGCAGTTTTAACTTATTTTACACCAGTGTAAAATGTGAATGAGCAAAGTGAACACTGAATCTTTGTTGTGTGCATCATATGAGAGAAGTGATTTGATACAGTCACGAATGATGACAATTGAGTAAGTTGTTAATGAGCTTAGTGGGAGACTACACTACAATGACATTGCAATCATCATCATCATCAGTACAATTTATTGTTTGTGCATGTGTACAGCTGTGTTTTTCCCAGTTCATTACTTAATTGATAACTTTCTAGTGAACTGTATAGTATCTCTTAACAAGAATAAATCTAACTGATGATTACATGCACATGCATACTGACTTATACAAGTACACACATTTTCACGGCACTATTCTTTTGTTCATTGTCTATCACTATTGTATTTTCACGAAATGAATACTTGTTTGTTTTGTTAATATGTGCAGAACAGATTGTTTTGTATGACGCTGTAAACTGTGTTTCTCCTTGCTGTGAATTTCATTTTATACTAACTGTATTGTTATTGAACTATGCCAGATGATAAATAAGCTGACACACTATATTTTTAGTGAAAATACTAGTAATAGATGAGAAGGAACTGGATCTTCAGTAGAAAGTCAATTTTTCCAGTTTTATCTCTTTTAAACAAAAACAAACAAACAAATTTGTATTATATGTATCATGATGTGAACTGTGTTTGCTAATGAACTAATTTTTCTCTTCTTATCAACATAAATTGATTTTTCTACCTAGAGTCGGTGTGTTTTGGAGTTTTTGCTGTTGTCATGTGGTGGGATAGAAGTTTTCGGCAATCGGATGTTAGTAAGCAGATTAAGGAAGAACTGCACAATTCATCCTAATGTGAAACTCAGTTTAGGTGTTTCGTTGTGATTTTGCTGCCTATGAATTCATTAGATAACTGTGCAGTGTTAAACACGGGAAGTGAATGTGCATAAGGTTCTTTTGATAGTGTTAGTGAGTCATGCGCAGAGCAGGACGTAACACGATTTTGTATTGGTGGAAGTTGTCACATCTCATGAGTATAGCGAGAAATCAGATTGACAGAAATGGTGTTAGTATGAATGGTAGTTGTGAAAGTGAAGTATGGAGAATGAGTGGCGAAAAATGCACCGATCAGTTGGATAAGATAGTATAAAATAATTTTGAAATTGAAGACCTCAGGGAAGACAGGGTGGATACGTCAGCATGATTGCTGCCAATTCTGAGTTATATCACCCGAAATGTGCGCCTACTGGTCGTGGTTATCACGATGACTGAAGGCCGTTAGTGTACGTTTACCGATACAGCTCTGTTCGGCAGTCAATAACTCGGTGTATTGGTGCTACATTTCTGACGGTTTTTTCTACCTTGACGTGCTAGTTGTGTTTGAATAGTAGGAAATGAAGTGTACAAACTTGTAGTAGGTCGAATTTAAACGCCACGTTCTCAGTGCATCTTAAATACAGTTTTCAAAAAATATATAATAATACACTTTATTATCTACTAGACATCTATTCATCCTTGACATTTGCTACTGACCAAATATGTATTTTCCCGCCATTTGACAACCGATTGCCTCCATTATGATCTATTTGTTTGTAGTAATCACTCATGAAACAGTTTCGAAGGGGTTTAATTTTTCCCACAGTTTCATAGAATTTAGCTATATCACTATTATCTTTATACATGAGAAGTTCCATTCTTCGAATGTATATTAATATCAGAATGTGTTCTATGAGTAGGTCAAGTCCGGACATCTGACATTCTGTCAGTGATAGTCGAATACAATCAGGCTTTGATAAGTGGTAGATTTATATTTACTTGAACGCATCAATGCTGCAGTAGAAAGTAACACAATGTTCCCACTTAGTTTTCTGTCTTCTATTACTCTGAATAGTTAGGTTGGTTAAGTATAGAAGTGTATGTTAATAACTGGATTGAACAGCAACACACGACGTAAATTCAATCCAGGATTCATCACCACTACTGAACTATTCAAGTAAAGTATCCTGTGCTTTCCACATGTATCCTTATTACTACTACTATTCCGTACAGTTTCCAACCAACCATAATATTCTATCTACTTAACATGGTTTGTTGATAATTTACTCAGGACAGGGTTGGATGGAGAATGTTGGTGAGCGGCCTATGCTCCTTCACGAGGAGTAACAGGCGAAAGTAAATGATTGATAACTAACATTTGCTCACCATTATTCACATCATTGTAACCACGACTATACACTGTAAGTAATATGGTTGATCACTTCATAAAATTCAATAGTCATCCACAAAATTCTCTTGGAAACAAATTCGTCATTGTGTAGATCATGTCAATATTATTAGAAAGAAGCACATACAATCAGAATAGATGGTACATGTATACACACAAATAGTTTAGTATTATCTTTGTTGAGCACATCAACTAATTGACATGATCGATCGATCGATCAACTAATCATTGGCACTATGATACATATGAAAATCGATTGAATTTATCGATCTTCCCCTTGAGTGATACCGACAACAACAACTACTACCATCAAGGTCATTACACCTGCCTTGTTTAACCAGAGTGTTAATCGAACCAGTGATGATCTTTCATGTCAATTAGAGTAATAACACTGTATACAGAAATCTAGTCCATATTCAATGGAGATGATCATCTCAGGTATTTGAATTATGCAGAAAATGTTGAATAAGAACAGAACATTAATGTAACCAGTAATGATGAAGTGAACTAATTCAGGACAGAATGAATTGGAGAGTATTTTATGAATTATTGATTGGTTGACATGATATTATGTAATATTAATTAAGTGATATATATATTTTGAAACTTCAATGCTGAAATTCACCTAAACCATAGTGTAATAGTATCTATCTAGTGGTGTAGTATGCTACTTATATCTGTTGACATAAGTAGTATGTGGTGTCAGTAGTTCTTTAATGATCTAATGATACAAATAATGTTAATACAGAAATATATTAATCAGAATATTTACGAGTAAGTGAATGCGACACCACGGCGTAGGCTAGTCCGTGACGCGTCTGGTCTAAGTTGGCTAACAGTTGCAAGGGATGTGTAGCACGGTATACCCAGTCGTTATCTGGTTTCGAAGCGTGACCGAGCGCCTTCAGTTAGGTGCGTACAGTGAAACTAATACGGCCATTATCAGATGTTGGAGACTTACAAAGCTATTTGTTTTGAGAATTTATTTACCGCTACATCGACGAATATGCTACTTTGGAAATTCGAAATTAATCCAAACATAACGGCACAATTCTCAGGATTCATTAACTATTAATTTGAATGAAGTCACGGCAACTAAGTGTACGCTTTACTTATTGACTAAATATACTAAAATGAAATGAAAGATGTTTTATAATAGTGAAATAACAATGAGAATACTGAGAACAAACGTCATCAAATCTCTAAAATCTAATGGATATACAAATGTAGTTGGTTAATCATGTATCCTTGTAAATTTTCAATGTTTCTACAACTTCACTCTCTCTGTGTGTCTCATAAACAATGAGAATAAATTCGCTTTAAATTCAAACATGACCTATTCTTATGCATAGAAGTTCATACCAAACTTAGTTATTGTTGTCATGTCGACGATAGAAACAAATGGTAAACAAAACTATTCTCTATGTGAAGAACAATGATGTTCAATGTATGTGTAAATTAGTTGTTCATTTCAAAAGAAATAAATGAGTTGGTAACTGTATAAATGATTTTTGTGATGAGCTTCAAGTGAAAACTTCGCCATATGATATTCTTAGATTCTTCTAATTGTTGGTGTCATTTGTGCTATTCTACTTATCGACTAGTTATTTCACTGATTGTTTGATGCATCTGATTTGTTTGCACCGTTCAGTAATTGTTTAGTGAACAGTTTCACACACACAATTCTATCGATTACTTGTTGTGTGTGTGTGCGTGTGCGTGTGAATGTATTTATGTGACTACTAATGTAATTAATCCGATTTGTTGTATGTGACAGTATGTAGTTTGAAGGAAGTAAGGGGATTCTGTAGACTTGTGTGTTATTGTTACATATACTTGAGTTTAAGGTGAAGTAACAATTTGGAAGAAATCGATGGCTGTTTCAGAGAACTCTGTAGTTCGAATTATTGCTAGTGGAGCGTATAAACTGCGGTTCACCAATATTTAAGGATCAAACAATGAACGATACCAACAGTCTCTCAGGAAATGGGTATATGTCTTCATAATGATTTCCGTGAAACGATATTACTGAGCATGTTTTCTTTACCCATTGAAAGGCTCACTAACAATCCACAAATATGGAATTAAAATGATCGATTAGAGAATTTCTTATTCATTTCATATTATGAGATCTCTTCATTTGATATTTTCTAATGCTTTCTGAACAGTTATCTTTACTTTTCCCTTATTCCTACTGCATATAATATCTCTACTGTGTGTTTATTTTCATCTTGTTGGGATATTCAGGAAAATATCCCAAAAATTATCCTGTTAAGCCTAATGCTATCCTTGGACATGAAATGGTATAATCTTATTGGCCAATATTTATTTAACGTGTCATTTTCCTGTTGG